TATACAATACTCGGCAGTTTGAAAGGGATCAGAGTGAGTGTTATATAGTGAATGTGTGATTGGTTACATCTGTGTGCAATCAGTGCAATGGATGATGGGATATGTAGTCCGGGATGACATGCAACAGTTTGTGTAGTGCGAGAGTCAATGTAATGGAAGGGTGACCTCTGGTGGTGAGTGAATTGAAGTTCATAGACCGGATTCGTGACATAAATAATGTTAGCCCTCACATTTTTTTTTTTTTAAGGAACAAAATGTATATTTCTCACCTCACAGATGTTACTGTTTTCATTCCCTGCTGTGGTCTCGCTATGCTGCCCTCTCTGGTGGACTGATTCATTTACTAACTCCTGCAAACACAAAGCAAAAACCATCAACATAAACTGATCTGAGAATTTGCCTAAAATAAATTTTGTAAAAAAAAATAAATTAAAAAAAAAAAACAGGCTTTTGGCTTCAAAAAAGGACTTGTTCAAAAATGTAAATGAGGGAAAAGTTGTTGGAGATCCACAACAGAGTAGATTTAGGGTGGAAAAATCCAGTGCCAGTCCTCTGTGTTCTGGTATGTCTAAATAATATTCACAAAGTTTTTAGTTGTGTAACATAACTAACTGTCATTTAATTTGTTAGTTATGATATGCACATCCCATTTAATTAAATTGTAATATGTGGGCCCATATAGTATACACCACATAACGGTAGTGACATTGGCCATTGAACAAACCACTAGTTTTTATGCTACATGCAAATAAAGGCAATGTTGTCATAGTTAACGTGGGTTATGTCGATCTTTGCCCTTGAGCAAGGCACCGAACCCCCAATTGCTCCCCGGGCGCCAATTGCACCCCGGCTGCCCACTGCTCCGGGTGTGTGTTCACGTTCACGGTGTGTGTGTGTTCACTGCTGTGTGTGTGCGCACTAAGGATGGTGCCTAGTATGGGTAACCATACTTGGCCACATGTCACGTCACTTTATATTCATTTTTAGGTTGCATTTTTTAACATCAACATCAATCTATGCATAATGGTTCAGCAATAGTAAGTTGTTTGTCCTTAGTATCCACCTGCTATCACCTCCAACACAAGGAAGCATTGTGCTTCTTCACTGCACTATTACTATTTCTGTGCCAGCGTGGAGAAGACGGGGAGCTGAGGTCTCAGACTTCCAGCCCCAGAGGTGCAGCAGCTGTTAGCCTGGCCTTGAGAAACGCCTCGTGAAAGACAGCTGTCTTGGGGAAAGTGAGCTTGCTTTCAACATGCTGCACACATGAATTAGCCCCTTTGCATGCATAAGAAGCAATGCTTTGCTTAAAACGTCTGCAGAGCAGGAATATTAAAAAGAACATTTTTAGGTGTAAAAATATTTTGTTCATCTCAAAAAGGAGAAATTATGAAACAGTTGCCTAAATATAAATTCAAGCACTGAATGAAAGACAAGCATTGCCATGAGCTTGATTATAAATCTATTTCAAATGTGATCAATTAAACAGTATTATCATCGCACTTTTTCACATCTCTTTTTTAATATTATCTAATTTTATATTATTGTTGTTGTTGTTGATGATGATGATGATGATGTTGTTGTTACTATTTAATGAAATTTTACACTTTTGTATCTTTATTGCTGTAATATAAATGCTAAGACAATCATTATAGCTATTATTACCTTTTCTTTGAGCATTTTGAAATACTAGCATACGCTTTTATCCAAAGCGACTTACAAATGAGGACAATAGAAGCAATCAAACCAACAAAAGAGCAATAATATGTAATAATATACAAGTCACACAACGCAGTACACGTAGCAAGGTTTTTTTTTTTATTAATATTATTTTATTATTCTTTTTTTTATAATAAAAAAAAAACGCAGAATAGAAAAAGAATAGGGAACGCTAGTATTAGAGGATCTTTCTTTTTTTTCTTTTTTAATAATAAAAATAAAACAAGTCAAAAGAATAGAAAAGGAATAGAGAATGCTTTAGTTTAGAGGGGGGCATTTTTATAATAAATCAAAAGAAAACAAGAAGATAGAATAGAGGATGCTAGTGTTAGAGGCTTTTTTATAGTACATTTTAAATGACTCAAAAAGCAGTGTAACACATTACTTTACGCGTGTTGTACCTGAGTGACAAATAGTGAAAACCATAAGAAAAAGTTTTTTCACCAGCACTAAACACGTGTAGTTCCAAACCTGAGCTACAGAGTTCCCTGCTATTTATCACCATAGATGTGTATAGGTAGATGCCACATTCGACTGTGCCAAGCACTATTATAGGACAGTAACGTAGATGTCCCAAAGCTTTCCTACTATTTTGCTACATAGCCTACTCAAAAGTATGTACTTTTTCTTCACAAAAAGAGTACATACTTTTAGGGCATAGTATAAGTACGCGAATTGGGACGCAGCAATATATTTATTTTTTTATTTTTTTTATTAATACAACCAGATGTAACAAAATGACATTAAATCATATGCCAGGGAGCAAGACAATAATGTATCTTTTTAACAGATTCACAGTCTTAACAGCTTTCTTATTACTAGAGTCAGACGAGTTTTAAATCTTCAAGAAAATTTCTATTCCAGGGAGCAAATAAATAATGTATATTTTGAACAGATTCACAGTCTTTACAGCTTTCTTATTAGTAGAGTCAGAAATCAAACACATATAGAGTTTTAAATCTTCAAGAAAATTTCTATAGAAAGGCTTACGTTTGCAAAATTTACATTTATGTATAAATAATTGAGCCAAGAACAAAATAAGGTTGAATAAATAAAAACATCCTAGACATCCTGTATATCCTAGAATAACATTTTCATATTTCAAAGAGATATCAGGAATTATATCACGAAAAACAGTGGGACGAGCGTGATCGGACAGGGTTGTTGGACCGAGGACTTCCGGTAGGAAAGGTTGCTGATTGTTTGTATAAATTCTTATAATAGGAAACGTTTTCGGTTTGGAGTCTAAGGGGTTCAGTGTGGAGGACGGAGGAGCTGAACACGCAGCGCCAACCGATACCTGGACTCTTGATGGCTTCAGAGTTGAGACAGAACAACTAATATAATAAAAGAAAATCCTGATTGCACAATAGCACAGTAGGTGGCGATATGCGCAAAGATTGCAACTCGCCATAAAACTAAGAAGAAGAAGAAAAAACAGTGGAACGCAGCATATGTTTATCACCTTCTCGGCGGAAGTGATGCATGACGCACTGACGTCGCCGGAAACCCGCCATCTTGCGGGAAGAAACGCCTTGAAGTTAAGGAGGAAACTTGAACTGTGAGTTTTTAAAAACGTATTTTAGTTCGACTGTAATTATAGTACCACCATAGTAACAAACGATAAATACTATATGTGATATGTTGCCCGTGGAAAAAAAAAATAGTATGAGAATTTGTGAGTTAATCGGAATGAAATCCTTTCAGATGTGACAAAGTCTGTGACAAAGGAAACAACAATCTGTTGACTTCAGTCAGCTTCTCTTCTGAACTAACTAACTAATGTTGCATAGATGATTTAATACATAAACTTGTTTTAACTGTTGAGCTCAACTTTGTTATTAAATACTGTGTATTGTAGAGCCTTTAATAATCAACAACAAAAACTAGTTTAACCAACTTAACGTACTGTTAAGCCTGACAAGTTAAGCCTCACTGCTTACTAAACTGATAATATATCATTCAAAGTTAGGATGGATCTGTACTATTGCCCCTGAACATTATTAATTTAATAATTATTGCCCAAACTGTTGAGTTAGATCAGCTTTATTATATAATTATATGATTGTAAAGAGAGTGTGTGTGTGTGTGTGTGTGTGTGTGTGTGTGTGTGTGTGTGTGTGTG